AAGAATGTTTTTTTTTTTTGTTGTTTTTTTTTCTTCTTCTTCTGAATAGTTTCTGGGGGCGTTAGTATGTTTAATGATAAAACCATGTGACGGCGAGGAACTTGAAAAGTTTTATTTTCCTATTTTCCTGCTGGTCATCATGAGACTTTTTATAACAGGTCTGTTTTATGTGATATACGACATATATGTCCCTATATCAAGAGTGGTGCTGCCATATATGTTAAAGAGATATATCATTATCACAAATATATGATCATAATATATCTGGATATAAGTTTGTTGTGTATATGTACATATATTAAAATGATCTATATGATGAATTTTTATATGGTTTAACATGTTGTGACCATATATGTTAATGATATATATTAAATGTATATGTGGAAGTTTATATATGTTTTTCTTATTCATTTCTAATTCATTTTAAACATGTTTATCTTCACATTCTGAAATCCACTGTTTATAGCATCAACATATATTAACAGGCTTTGGGATGTATATATATATATATATATATATATGTATGTGACATATGTCTACAATATAAGCAAACATACATAAACACATGTCAATATATGAAATTGTTCCTATTTTTAATATATATGTTTTATTTTATACTGCATGTAGTCTTCATATATTTCATTTATGAAAATTCTACGTATGTAGATATTATAGCGAGTTCCAGCAGTTAAGTTCAGGAACTAAACCAGGAACCAAATTTTCCTTTGGCACCTTGGTTGTTTACATTTCTCCTGCATCTGAAGAAGCACAAAAGAATAAAACAGTGTTTTCATTTATGATGTCAAGGTGATGTTTGAACAGGTGCTGGGAAGAGGACAGAAAGACAGACAGGAAAGACCACCTTTCTCCAAAGTAGCAGTTACAGAAATTCACACCTTGCGTGCTAACTTTGGTACGTTTTTTTTGCAATGATGAGCCTTGCACAGCTCTGCAGGGTCTATCCGGTTAAAAACCTGGACAGTATTACGTCAAGAGCAGGGACTCTTTGGTAGGCAGGAGCTAAAACCTGCACAAGCTGTCAGAATGTGTGGAAAGGACCAAAAACTATTCCCGAGTTTCAGGAAAAGTTCCTTTCCGCACGAAGGGGAAATATTTCTCAGACAGGATCTAACTTAACTTAGATCACGCAAACATCACAAACTTTTTCCGATTCAAATGATGAATATAACATTTTGGGATATAAAACCCTCGTCGTACGCACCACATGGAAGACTTCAGCATCCTGCCCGGTGGTGAGGACCATCTGGGGCTGGAGGCCGGACTGGAGGAAGAAGCCGTGAGCCGACACCGTGCAGCCTCCGCTGCAGAGAGAGAGGGGGGGGTGAGAACGGATATTAGCCTTACCATGAGACAGAGAGACACAGTAGATCCCCACTGGGAGGGACCTGCTGTTAGCGTTAGCAGTTTAGCCACTCGTCACCTCCCACTCGTTTCCTCCTGCTGTAAAACTAAAGCATTAATCTGTCTCGGCTCATCCACATTTATTCTAACTGGAATTCTCCCCGGGCTTTTCTCTCCGTCAGGTGAAGAAACAACGCAACAGCTCAGATTTGGAGCGAATAAATTGAGCTGACAATGACAAAGAGTGATACGCAAACCATCCGTGAACGAGCGGAGGTCTAACCTGACGAAGGAGCGCGAGGGCTGGATGCTGTTGATGATGGGGTCTTGGTTGTAGGTGAAGAGCACGGGGGCGTGGAGCTCCACCGAGTCCACCGTCAGCTTCACAGGCTGCTCCGAGGGAAAAGCGTGGGGAGGCGTTTTGCAGGTCAGCATGGTGGACGACAAGCTAATGGTGGAGGGGAGGGGAGGAGGGGGGGTGAAGGGAGCGAGCGAACACACACAGGATATATTGTTGTGTTAGTATGTACAGTGGCAGCAATTGTCCAAGCCCCCCCCCCCCTCCCCTATTCGCGCATTAATCCTGCAGACAAATCCTGAGAAGTCCTGCTTGAGAGGGAAGAAGAGACAGAATAAGGAAAAGAGAGAGAAAAATGAAAGGAAACGATTGAATGAAAGAAAAATCCTCCAACTTTTTAACTCTTCTCCTGGTTCATAAGCTAAATTTTTACACGACATATGTACGGCACAACCATGCCAACTCCTAAGAAGGACAAGAGGAAGTGCAGAAAATGTATCTGCCACCTGACATGCAAGCTTTATTTTGAAGAGCTTCTCCTGGAAGAAAGGATTACAGGGAGGGGCAAGAAGATGGAGAGAGAGATGAACAGACTGGTGTGAACTGACCTCTGGATTTTACAGGCTGCTTTCCCAACTGTCACCTCCTGCTTGTTTCCAGTGTCCAGGAAGACTCCTCTGATGGTCAGCATGGTGTTTCCGGACTTCGGCCCAAATGTCGGGAAGATTTCGTGGATCTCCGGTTCCTGGATGACGCAGGGACCGCGAGACTCTTTATACTTAAGTGTTTTGCAAAGTGCAACCAACATGAAAGGAACAAAAAAAAAAAAAAACAAACAAAAACAAAACTCATTTCTTACCACAAAGGTGAAGCCCTCCATCTTGGCTACCTTGTTGCCAGTGGTGACCTTCACCGTGTGACCCGACGGGGTGAAGTTCCCACTGAATACTGGGGAACACTGCATTTCAGTCCACCTAAACACAACATACAGAACCAGGCATTATACCCTCGTCCCAGCCACCCAGCGTTTATCCTAATTCAATGATCATCCTCTGCCCTGCAGGAACGCACAAAGAGGTCGTCTTCATGTGGGACTGGGTGGGTGGTGTTCTTTTTTTTTTCTCTCCCCGTCACTTGTAATGAGGTTGTTTGTAGCAAAAGGGGCTTTTGAATGG